GCATTTGGGCAGTGGGGCGGGTCAGTGCGTCGGCGATATTCGAGGCTCCTTTTTTATATGTGACCGTATAGTGGAAATTCGATTCGAGGAAGTCGAGCCACCGAATCTGTCGTGGGTTGAGGTGGGGCTGTGCGCGAAGGTACTGTAGGGATCGATGGTCTGTCCGTACTGTCACGTCTGCGCCGGTCAAGTAGCAACGCCACACTTTGAATGCATGCACGATCGCGAGCATTTCGCGGTCGTGTATCGGGTAATTTCGCTCAGGTGGATGTAGCTTGCGTGATTCGTAGGCGATGGGTTGGAGGCCGTTGCCGAAGTCCTGTAACAGTACGGCTCCGATGGCGATGTCACTCGCGTCTGTAACAACTTCGAAGGGGCGGTGTGGGTCAGCGATGCGTAGGACGGGTGGTGAACAGAGAACATTTTTCAGGGCAGAGAAGGCAGCATGCTCTTTCTCCCCCCACGTAAAAGGGACCCCCTTATGCAGTAAATCAGTGAGCGGGGCTGTTAAGCGTGCCATGTCGGGGACGAACCGACGAACGTAATTAACAAACCCCAAAAAACTCTGTAGTTCCGTGATGTTCGTCGGGGGATGCCACGCTTTTACGGTATCCAGCTTCTTAGGGTCTATCTCAACCCCAGCCTCCGAAATGACGTGACCTAAAAACTCTAGCCTGTCCCGAAAAAACTCGCACTTGGAGCCCTTGGTGAGTAACCGATGTGCCTCTAAAATTTTAAAAACTCCTTGGAGATCTACTAAGTGCTGCTGCTGGTCCCGACTGTAAACGAGGATGTCGTCGAGGTAAACTATGACGCATTTATCTAAAAGTGGCCTAAACGCCTTGTTCATGGTCATCTGAAATGTTGCAGGCGCGTTGGTCAGCTCGAAAGGCATCACTGTATACTCGAATGACCCGTACCTAGTCCTAAATGCTGTCTTGGCGCAGTCCGATGGTTCGACCCGAATTTGATGGTAACCTCCCCGTAAGTCTATTTTCGAAAATACTCGTGCGGTTCGCAGCTGGTCGATCTGTTCGTCGGCGCGGGGGATGGGGTATCGTGATTTTACTGTTACCCTGTTAAGCGCTCGGTAGTCGATGCACATGCGAAACCCCCCGTCTTTTTTCGGTGTGAACAGTATCGGTGCGGCGAACGGTGACGAGCTCGGTCGGAAAAACTGCTTCTCTAACAGGTAATCTAACTGCTTCCTTAGCTCGTCGAGCTCGGGCTGTGCCAGTCGAAACTGGCGTTGTACAGTTGGCTGTGCCCCCGGTTCTAACTCGATCCTATGGTCGTGCGCCCGCTGAGGTGGCAGCCCTTGCGGTAAGTCATCCGGAAAGATACCCGGGAACCGTTTCAGTAGTGCCTGTAGTTCGTGTGGTACGGCTGCCAACAGTTTCTGCAAATCACTCGGCCGGTCCTCTTTTTCCACTAATGCGATATCCACTGCGTACACGTCAGCTCCAGCAGCGACAGCCCGTTTCATCGTGATGGCGTTGACCTGGACCGTCGAAGACTCGGGTGGCTGCCAGCGAGGTAGGACGACCCCGTTACCACTACTTCGCACTGTGCAGCTACCCTTCGTCCAGTCTATTCGTGGGTTATACCGTCGCAGCCAATCACGTCCCAATAAAATGTCGTGCCCATCCAGTGTCGTTGCGAGCATTTCCTGTGTAAACCCGAAGTTCCCTCCGCAGCGGACCTTTACTCTCTCCACCTTTTCCCGTATAGCCAGTGGCGTGCCGTCGACTAAGCGTGCATCTATCTCAGGTAAGCATCGGTTAAGTGTTAACTGTAATTTCCGTGCGGTTGCGGTATAAACTAAGCTGTGACTTGCTCATTCGTCAATAAAAATCTTCACTGCTGCTCCCTGTATTTTCCCGTAGATTAGTACCGGGCAATCCGTCGCTGCACCCTCCTTATTCATCCGAGCCCGATCGATGGCATGAATCGGTACTGTGACTCGGTGAGGGTCAGTGTGGTTGGGCGAGCAGGCAGTCTCGTCAGTAGTTGGCCCAACTTCTACTGACTGCTGGCGTTTCCCTTCCTCTGAGACTCCCTCCCCTACTCTGCTCCTCGGCGCCTCAGCTCCTCTGGGCATTCGCTCTTGCGATGGCCCGGCCTGTTGCAAGCAAAGCAGCGCCCCTTAAACGGTGCGGCAGCTGCATTCGTTGCGACGGCGTGTACAGTGGCGTGCTCGGTCGGTCCCCGAGGACGATGTCCGTAATAGGACCCCGGTCTCGGTCGGCGTAGAATGTCGATCTTCTCGGCGAGCGCGAGAATCTCGTTGAAGTTAGAGAGTCCGCGCAGCATTATCTCGTGCGAGATGTCCGGCTTCAGCCCTCCGACGTAACGGTCCACCCGCTCCGCTTCGTGCATGTAGCCGACCTGCTCGCAAAGTGCGAGAAAACCGCTGGTATAGTCTTGAACTGACCCGAGCTGGCGCCAAGTGCGCAGTTTCTGACGCGCCGAAAGTGAAGCCGCGATCGGCTCAAAACGCGCCCGAAGTCCTGCGCACCACGCATCCCACGTGCTGTATTGGGCGGTCTCGCAGAACGAACTCCAGGTGACAGCTGGACCCGAGGGCCCTTCCTCGTGCGACGGTGGCTCGTAGGCGCGTGGCGACGTCACGATGACTCGCCACCAGTCCATGGCGGGGCCTCTTAGCAGTGAAACCGCATACCGGATCTTTGCGGCGTCCGACTCGATGTAATTGGCGTCGAAGAAAACGTTCATCGTGAAGACCCACGATTGAACTGTCGGACCGCCGCGTTGACTTGGGTTGAAGCAGGGCGGGCGTTGCGGCTTGAGCGGCATTGGTGCCATGTTGGGTTGTTCGCCACTTGTCGCCGCAAATTCCACGTGCCGACGGACTTCTCGAGGCTCCCGTGGGCTTGGTGCGATCCTGTTTCCTCCCATGCCAGGCATCGGCTGGGCGGCGCCCTCACTGGCTGCGCCTGAGCGTTGTCCCGTGCTGTCGTGTTGTGTTGGTGTGCCGGACGAGATGATGATCGGCTCATCTGAACGTGCAGATGCGTTTGTTGGTGCGTGGGATGTCGTCGGTACGTTCATCGTGGATTGTTGACGGGCGGAGTCACGTTCCGCCGTGAGGGTCGCGATTTCAAGCGCCGAATCCTCCAGTTGACGCACGAGACGATCAAGTTGCTCCTGCGTCAATGTGGTGAGCGTGAAATCGGCCATGGCGGGGGTGTCGGGCAAGCTCAGCGAGAGCCTCGGTCGTGGCCGTGCGTGCTTGCGAGAGAGCACTACGAGCGGCGGTGCTGTATCGGTGAGAGACGTCTACCCCCCCCAAAAATTGAGATAGTGGGGAAGTGAAGGTGTGGATGCGGTCCGAGATGGGATCGTAGGCTCTGAATACCAAGTGTTACGAGTGCAATTGAGTGAACGAGCGAGAATTTGCACTATCGAAGCAAGAGTACAATGAGCGAAGGTATGAGCGAAGAATATATAGCGAAACTACAGTGGTAACGGTAATGGTCGCGCGACGAGCCTGGGACTGAGGTTGGGAACGTGTCGAAGCGTAGGCCCGGAGCGCGGGTTACCAGCCGAGTTGTGAGGTCGGGATGCGATGTGCGAAAATGGCGGGATGATGAATGATGCGATGGTTGTGAGTGGTAACGGTGCTGACTGAGGTGCTACAGTGATGTACGCGTTGAGCAGAGGTGCGAAGTAAGGAAAAGGGAATTTCTTTACAGTGATGATTCAATGACTGAAGAAATTGTGTAGTGTAAATTCACTGGAAGAGCAAACATTTTTTCAGAATAATGGCGTCAACTTCAAAACACTCCTCAATAGACATACAACGTTAAAGAATGGGCAAATCACCAGCATCATAGCTAGCCAGAGTTATGCATGACAATCACACATTGGTAATATTGAAATCTTACCCACACACTACATCATAAAATCAGTGTACTGCCTGTGCAAGTCAGTTGCCTGTCCGTATACTTACATCATCCCTTACTGGAACATCTGCTGTCCTGTTGCCTTCCTCCTGCGAACACATCACTACGTTCTGCTAATGGCGGACCATTTGTCTCCGCCATGGTCGCACGTGTGTCACGTCCTCCAATCACTCGAGCAGCGTCGCGCGAACTGTGTCGTCACCGTCGACGACGACAGCGGTGCGACGCTAACCGGGTCGCAGTTGGTCGCAGACGTCGCATGCCTGGCCAGAGGGCTGGAGACTTTCTGCGGCGTCGCGCCGGGGGAGCGCGTGTGCATCGCAGCGCTCAATAGGTACATAGGATAGCATAGCACGGCATAGCATACTTAACGGCAACGTATCTTTCCGTCGTAGGTGGTTCGTGAGACAATTCGCGAACTATTCATGCGGCTAGCTGGAAGCATTCCTTGCATTGGGATACGCTTTGCTGCATCATACGGCCAGCTTCCGGTCGAGTGGGATGCGTTTTTTGCAATGATCAATGATGGGAGCTTTCTCGATCAATGCTGCTGAACTGACGGCGATTAGCATGCGCGAATAGTCACGACTACTAGTACCGAATGTGCTATTATCGGGCGCACGACCCTTTCCATGCACGACTGTGCTCACAGCTCTAATATCGAATGTGCCAATAACGATCCAGAACCCTCTCTCTCACCATCCCTCGCATCACACCCATGCAGCTCGGCGTACGTGCAGTGGCTACTCGCAGTGCCAGCTGTGGGCGCCATTCTTGCGCCTCTCAACCACCGATGGGTCAGTGTCGTGTCACTCCCTCTCACTGTCACTCCCTCTCACTGTCACTCCCTCTCACTGTCACTCCCTCTCAGTGTCACTCCCTCTCACTGTCACTCCCTCTCACTGTCACTCCCTCTCACTGTCACTCCCTCTCACTGTCACTCCCTCTCACTGTCACTCCCTCTCACTGTCACTCCCTCCCTCCGCTCAGCTCGCACCACTTCCCCCCGCTTGCACCACACAACACTGACACATACTCACGAGTCATTTCCTAGTCAAATCACACCATTCCTCTATGCAACCCTCTTCGATCTCCCCCTTTCCTTCTTTCCGCAACGGCTGCACAGAGCATGGGAGAGGCAGCAGCGGCGGTGCAGCAGGTGGGGCGGACTGTCCTGGTGGTGGATGCACACATGCTGCCCTGGTGGGACCACCTCATGCCACCCCTTTCTCATCACCCCCTTTCCCCTTCCCCACCTCCCCCTCTCATCCCCTTCCCTCGTCTTTCAAACCACGTGAGCAGAGCATTGGAGAAGCGGCTGCAGCGGTGCAGCAGGTGCGGGCCACGGTGCTGGTGGTGGATGCACACATGCTGCCCTGGTGGGCCCACCTCAAGCCGCTCTGCCCCTCGCTGCGACTGGGGGTTCTTATCTCTGAGGGGCCCACTGCTACCACTCCCTCCTCTGCCTCCTCCTCCTGTAAGTTCACCTCAAGGTCAGTGGCTTACCACCAGGGATGCTGCTGCTTGTGGTGCTGGCGGTGGATGCACACATGCTGCCCTGGTGGGCTCACCTCAAGCCGCTCTGCCCCTCACTACGACTGGGGGTGGTCATCTCGGACCAACCCATTCCCTTTTCCGCCACATCTCCTTGTGAGTTCATCTCACGGCTGCTTGCTTGCTTGCCTCCTCTCCCTCCTCTCCCTTCCCTATCTCCTCTCCTCCTCTGCCCCCTCTGCCTCCTCCTTACTTGGGCATCCCTGGGCTTTCCTGTGTTTTATTTGAAATCACGGATTCTGAGCAGCGCGCTTTCAACGCTTCCTGCGCAACCCATCACGTCCTGCCCCACACACGCATCCCCATGCACATCGCACATGCCCATTACCACCACCAGCAGCGCTGCTCTCAATGGATGAAGTTCTTCGAGTGGGCAAAAGGGCAATCACGGATGCTGGGCAACGCGCTTTCAACTCTTCCTGCCCATCCCACCCAACCCACCACACAAATTCCTCACCCTCCCATCCTCCTCGCTCGCTTGCCTGCTCCTCTCCCCCTCCCTCCTCCTCCTCCTTCCTCCACCACATACCCCTCCGCTTCGCCCCTCACCGCATTGCACTCCTCTGTTTCACCTCGGGCACCACCGGCACCCCCAAGGCAGCTGCTCTCTCCCACACGGCGCTCATCTTGCAGTCCCTGGCCAAGCTAGCATGTGCGGGGTACCGCCATGACGATGTGAGTCACGTCACTCTTTTGAAATGTAGGTCACACAATACCGGCACCCCCAAGGCAGCTGCTCTCTCCCACACGGCGCTCATCTCGCAGTCCCTGGCCAAGCTGGCGCGTGCCGCATATCGGCACGATGATGTGAGTGGGGTGTGTGTGACATGGCGATGTGAGTCACATGGGGATAGGGTGTGCATGAGCAGGTGAGACTCAAAGGCAGCTGCTCTCTCCCACACGGCGCTCATCTCGCAGTCCCTTGCCAAGCTGGCATGTGCGGGGTACTGCCATGACGATGTGAGTGGGGTGTGTGGGACATGGCGATGTGAGTCATTCTTGGAGGATTGGGTGGGGATCACATGGGGATGGGATGATGGGTGACCCAAGGATGTCTGTCTGTAACATGGCCATGCCAGAAGATTTTGGGGGCATGGATTCTGCTTCGATTTTTTTTTTTTTTTTTTTTTTTTGAAACACTCGGAAACTTCTCTCTCAGAGAGAGCCCCCATCCCTACGCGAGCTCTGCTCTGCTCTCTCTTCCTGCACGTGATCCCTCTCTGCCATACATGCGACATTTCCTCGCTCCTCGCTATCCCCCCTCTTCTCCCCTCACAACCTCGTCCACAACCTCCCCCATCATCTTTCTCCCGCTGTTCCCTCCCACCTGCAGGCCTTCCTGCACGTGGCGCCTCTGTGCCACATAGGAGGCATCTCCTCGCTCCTCGCCATGCTCACAGCGTGTGCTCGCAACGTCCTCGTGCCGCGCTTCCTCCCCTCCCACCTCCCCCGCCTCCTCTCCCGCCATCGCATCACGGCCCTTATTGCCGTCCCTGCAATGCTCACTGATCTACTGAATGCGTGCAGTGGCGAGAAAAGTGAGTGATCAGGCCTTGTTGGGCTAAGGCATGCATGCATCCCCCCTCTCCCCGCCCACCTCCCTCTCCTCCTCTCCTTCCACTGCATCACAGCCTTCATCGCTGTCCCTGCCATGCTCACTGACCTACTGAGTGCATGCAGCAGCAAACAACCGGGGGAACAAGGTGAGTGATCCTACTGAATGCGTGCAGCGGCGAGCAAAGTGAGTGATTGGGCCGTGTCTGGGCTAAGCCGTGCATGCATCCCCCCTCTCCCCGCCCACCTCCCTCTCCTCCTCTCCTTCCACTGCATCACAGCCTTCATCGCAGTCCCTGCCATGCTCACTGACCTACTGAGTGCATGCAGCAGCAAACAACGAGAACCAAGTGAGTTACAGTTATCCTGCTTCTGGCCAAGCTACAGCATGACTTTCGTTCAGCCCTTGGCCCCCCTGTCCTCCTGCCTTGTGGCCCTCCAGCACCCACCAGCACCCACCATCACCCCATTCTATCACATGTGCGCATGTTGGCTCTGAGCTCACTCTTCTTCTCTCGTCTCTCCCATCCATCCCCCCATCCCTGCACGCTGCCGTGCAGGCACTTCCTTCCCGCTCGTGAGAACGCTGCTGGTGGGGGGAGGCGCATTGAGCCCATCGCTGCAGCGGCACACAGAGGCTCTCTTCCCATGCGCGCGCCTCATGCTCGCCTATGGTACCTCCCTGTTACCGCCTCCCTTGCACGCTCCCAACTCATTCTCCTCTGTATCCGCGCCCCACTCAGGCATGAGGGGAATTAGGCATGAGCCACTGCAGCGACACACAGAGGCACTCTTCCCCTGCTCGCTTATGGTACCTCCTTTTTATCGCCTACCATCCTCTAATGTTTCTTAGAAGGAGCGCCGCCAATTCAGATCCTGCATGCCTTCCCTTTCCCCAAACCTCCTTTTCCACCCCCCAGGTATGACAGAAGCAGCTTCCTCCATCACATTCGCCATGCTGCGGGACCCTGCAGGGGCAGAGACGGCTGGGGCACAGGCTAGTGCGAGGCCAGAGGGGCAAGCGCAAGCAGCGCCCTTTGACTCTACCGCAGTGCCATCGTCTCCAGCGCCAGCAGCAGCAGCAGTGCTATCACTACCATCATCAGCACCAACAGCATCAGCGTCAGCCTGTTGTGTGGGCTTCCCTGCTCCCCACGTTCAAGTCTGCATTGCGCCCCTCCCTCCAGATGACACTCACCCTCCTCCTCCTCCCCGGCTCGACCCTCACTCAACCCTACCCCATCAACACTCGCACTCCCCCCTCAATCACCCCGCACTTCAATCCAGCCAGCCCTCAGCTCACAAGTCTTGTCCTGTAGTGGGGGAGGTGCTAACCCGCGGCCCGCACGTGATGAGTGGCTACTGGGGCAGGCCAGACGAAACCGCCGCAGTGCTCTCCCCAGAGGGCTGGTTGCGCACGGGAGACATGGGCTGGATCGACTTTTCCGGGCAGCTTTGGCTGCTGGGCAGGCGAAAAGAAATGATGAAGTCGGGCGGGGAGAATGTGTTCTGCGCAGAGGTGGAGGAGGCAGTGAGAGCACACCCGGGAGTGGCGGCAGCAGCAGCGGCAGGGGTGCCAGATGAGCGCATGGGGGAGGCGGTTGCTGTGCTGCTGGTGCTGAAACCGGGATGGGTGTGGTCGGGAGTCGGCAGTAATGACAGTGGTGGTGGTGATGCTGGCGGTGCTGGCGGTGCTAGTGATGTCGGCAGGTTTGGTAGTGGTGGTGGCAGTGCAGCAAGGGCAGCTGCTGCTAAGAACGTGTCGTTGAGTGACTTGCATGCTGCCTGCCAGCAGCACGGCCTTTCCAGGTATGTGAAATGTTGGCTTATCTTTGGATCATAAACTTGGCTGTTCCGTGCTCCCATTCGCCATCCCAAGGCACATTCACATCATAATCTTGTGCTCACATCTTTACCAGGTACTTTGTCTCCCTCAATAGACTTTGTGCCTCTTGTTTCCTTTGCTTGCAGGTACAAGCTCCCTCGAATGGTGGTGGCTTTGCCAAAAGGACAGTCATTGCCTGTGACAGCTTTGGGAAAGGTGAAGCGAGCGCAAGTTAGAGACATTATTATTAATGACATGGAAAGAAGTGTGCCAAGGATAAAAGCTAGATTGTGAAAATGGAAAGTTGGCATGTGCAAACTATCTATTTACGCAGTCCTTTTGCGTAGCTTTTGCTGTTTAGTGGTACTTGCATGGTCCTCGGTACAAGTTTCATCTGAGATACGTGGTGTTGCTATGGCCCGCATTTTTACTCATATTCTTAGCCATTGACTCTTTTGCTGTAGGTGAGTCGTGACACGTCAGTACCTCACTCCCCGACTCACACCCGAACGCGTGGTGGGATCTCAGCCACTCTCAATTCTGAGTCGCACAAACCGTCGCATGGCGGCCAGCTACCAACCAGATAATTGAGGTGCGAGTTGTCGTCCGTTGCCATGCGATGTCGCAGAAGGATGGCGGCGTAGACTGCGAATCCAAAATAGAAGTTGGGGGGATTGAGTTGGGTTGGTTGAGGTTGGGAGAGAAGGGGAACAAACCACTCCCAACAGCGTTCCATAGTTGGGCCACCTAAGCTGGAATTTTCGTTTTCTAAGCATCCTTTTTATCGATTCTGCCTTTCTTCTAACCACATAGCAGACCGCCACGCTGCTTGCATCTCTCGTTCCGCTCTGGCGACCTGTCGGCGACAGCCATACTTCCTCCTTCGCCTTAGCACTCGTGCGCTCACCCTTCTCTAGTGTTGCCCTCGCACCAGCGTCGTCCCGTCGCGTCGTTGAAGCTCGATTGGTATTTATAGAATATCAACTATTTACTCCACCTGACCTGCTTTCTCTTCTGGGATTCTCTTTCCTCCATCCCGCCGTTCCGCTCATTTCGCGCGTTTCGCTCGTTTCATTCGCACCCACATGGCGTCGTCGTTTGCTCTAGCGGGAGTTGATGCTTCGTCACTAGCTGCTTCGCGATTCTGTTCGCGTCCCCTTCGCGTCGCTTCAGGTGAGCTCAGAATCTCCTCACCATTTCCCCGCATCCGCACCTTTCCCCCCTTTTACTCTCCCTCCTCCTTCCCATCCCCCAACTCTCTTGTTTCTTATTCCCCCGTCCTCACTTCCTCCTCGTTTCGTGAGCAACGTCTCGCAAATTCACTCTAGTGCGGGTGTGCCTGTATCGAATGTGATGCGCAGGTGAATTTAGACTCGGAATAAGCCCGAGGCAGCACAACCAGAGACAGCAGCAACAGCAGCGGAGGTTGGTGGGCGTGTTCACAGTGCGGTCGAGTGCGGTAGAGAACGCGGCAGCTGAGACCAATGTGACGGACGAAGGGAAGCAGGTGAGAATCGGGGCAGGTGAGGGGTGGGGCAGGTGAGAGGAGGGGCGGGCGGGAGATGGGGTCGGTTAGGGGCGGGCCACAAGCTCATTGTAGAAAAAAAAACAAATAACAAAAAAACCATACACGTGCACTGCCACGTCACTTCCCATCAACCTCTCCTCACACCAACCCTCGTTTTCCGCCGCTCCCCTCCTTTCCCCCGCCCTCTCCCCCCAGCTGCAGCAGCGGAAGGCGGAGTGGGCGCGGGTGCGGGGGGTGGCGGAGAGGGGCGCAGTGGTGCGCGGGCGAGTGGTCTCCGCCAACGCGGGGGGGCTCATGGTGCGCCTGGGCCCGCTGCAGGCGTTCCTGCCGCTCTCCCAGCTCGACCCCTCGCGTCTCAGAGGGACAGGTGAGTGAGTTCGAAGAACTCTTGAGCCCACAGGAGTAGTAGTGGAGGGGGGAGGAAGGGATGGGGGGACTGACTGTGCGCCTGGGCCTGCAGCAGGTCTTCCTTCCGCACTCCCAGCGCGATCCTTCGCGCCTAAAAGGCTCGGGTGAGTGGTTGTGATGCATTCACACGGGTATCGTATCGAGTGGCGAAACGGGGAGCGGAGAACACTCGAAGTGGAACATTTGAGGCAGAAAAATTATTAAGTGAAGGGCTCTCAACCCGTTCCTTCCTTCCCTCCCTCTTCCCCCGTCCACACCTCCTCTTCTCCCCAGCAGCAGCGTCACCGGCGCCCAATGTAGCAGATGTAACCCGCGGTCTAGTAGGCAGCATGGTGGTAGTAAGATTCCTGGAGTAAGAATCTAGTAGGCCCGCACACGCCTAGTGGTGTCGGAGAAGCGGGCAGCAGCAGGCAAGGGGCTGCCGCGCGTGCAGCAGGGGCGCGTGTACCCGGGCGTCGTCTCCTCGCTCACAGACGAGGCAAGAAAAACAGTGATGGACCCTCAACCCCCTCGTTCCCCCTCCCCCCCTCCCCACCTCCCTTCTCCCAAGCAGCAGCGTCGCCGGCCCCCAGTGTAGCGGACGTAACTCGAGGGCTGGTAGGCAGCATGGTGGGGGTGAGAGTCCTGGAGTTGGACGAAGCCCGAACGCGTCTGGTGGTGTCGGAGAAGCGGGCAGCAGCAGGCAAGGGGCTGCCGCGCGTGCAGCAGGGGCGCGTGTACCCGGGCGTCGTCTCCTCGCTCACTGACTTCGGCGCCTTTGTTGACCTCTTCCAACCGGAGGGAGTCAGAGAGGAGGGAGACAAGGAGGGGGGCAAGGGGGGGGAGAAGGAAGGGGACAAGGAGGGCGCGTTTCTGGCGACAGGGCTGGTGCATGTGTCTGAGCTCTCTTGGGACCCCGTTCGCTCGCCCGCTGATGTGGTAGCTGTGGGGGATACAGTCAACGCATTGGTGCTGCAGGTGGATAGGTGAGTTCAAGGGGCCAACTCACAACGCAAACGGGCTGGTGCATGTGTCTGAGCTCTCTTGGGATCCCGTTCGCTCACCCGGTGATGTGGTAGCTGTGGGGGATGCAGTCAACGCGTTGGTGCTGCAGGTTGATAGGTGAGCTGAGAGAGTTGCAGAGAGCTCACATTTTGTTTGAGGTTGATTTTGAGAATTCTCAAAATCAACCTCAAACAGGTTGATAGGTGAGCTGAGAGAGTTACAGAGAGCTCACAGCGCTAAGAGGCTGGGTTGCAGCGCGTGCAGCAGGGGCGCGTGGGAATGGTGGGGAATCAAGTGAACGCCATCTAGCTGAGGTATCGCCATCTAGCTGAGGTATCGCCATCTAGCTGAGGTATCGCCATCTAGCTGAGGTATCGCCATCTAGCTGAGGTATCGCCATCTAGCTGAGGTATCGCCATCTAGCTGAGGTATCGCCATCTAGCTGAGGTATCGCCATCTAGCTGAGGTATCGCCATCTAGCTGAGGTATCGCCATCTAGCTGAGGTATCGCCATCTAGCTGAGGTATCGCCATCTAGCTGAGGTATCGCCATCTAGCTGAGGTATCGCCATCTAGCTGAGGTATCGCCATCTAGCTGAGGTATCGCCATCTAGCTGAGGTATCGCCATCTAGCTGAGGTATCGCCATCTAGCTGAGGTATCGCCATCTAGCTGAGGTATCGCCATCTAGCTGAGGTATCGCCATCTAGCTGAGGTATCGCCATCTAGCTGAGGTATCGCCATCTAGCTGAGGTATCGCCTTTCATTTCTCATCTATGCCTCTGTGCATCCTTGTCTGCCCATGCACGTGGCAGGGAGAGGGAGCGAGTGGGGCTGTCACTGAAGCAGGTGCAGGCAGACCCGCTCCTCGAGACGCTAGACCGCTTGCTGCCCTTCCAACCCGCACCAGATGCCACCTCCCCTTCTGCGTCCGCCCTTGAGGTGAGATCCCTCTGCTGCTTTCAAGCCCTTTCGCCTATCCCTTGCCCTGTGCCCTTTCGCCTATCCCTTGCCCTGTGCCCTTTCGCCTATCCCTTGCCCTGTGCCCTTTCGCCTACCCTTTGCCCTCTGCCCTTGAGGTGTCAGTTCCTTCTGCCCTTGAGGTGTCAGTTCCTTCTGCCCTTGAGGTGTCAGTTCCTTCTGCCCTTGAGGTGTCAGTTCCTTCTGCCCTTGAGGTGTCAGTTCCTTCTGCCCTTGAGGTGTCAGTTCCTTCTGCCCTTGAGGTGTCAGTTCCTTCTGCCCTTGAGGTGTCAGTTCCTTCTGCCCTTGAGGTGTCAGTTCCTTCTGCCCTTGAGGTGTCAGTTCCTTCTGCCCTTGAGGTGTCAGTTCCTTCTGCCCTTGAGGTGTCAGTTCCTTCTGCCCTTGAGGTGTCAGTTCCTTCTGCCCTTGAGGTGTCAGTTCCTTCTGCCCTTGAGGTGTCAGTTCCTTCTGCCCTTGAGGTGTCAGTTCCTTCTGCCCTTGAGGTGTCAGTTCCTTCTGCAACTTGATCTCTTCTCACTTGCTCTTTCCCCCCCATGCTTGCTTGCAAGCTCACACACACATGCACATGCACGCGCACATGGATAAGCACACACATGCACACAGACATCCGCACATGCACACTCACACACACACACCCACACTTGACCTGAAACACACGCTTATTTTGTCCTCCCTTTTTCCCCCCCACCTCCCTCTCCTCCCCTGCCACCATCCCCAGGCGTCCTCTGCTGCTCCCTCCTCTCCCCTCCCCGGTGCCACCTCACCCCCTGCCCTACCTGGCCTGCTAGCTCTCTGCAACCAGCTCAGGCAGCAACCAGGGTAGGTTGATTCAAACGCCCCCCTGTATATTCCTCTCCTTGGCACCTCCTCTCCTCTTACCCTCCTCTCCTTGCCTTCTTTGCTACCGGGTCTGCTAGCTCTCTGCGACCAGCTCAGGCAGCAACCAGGGTAGGTTGATTTGAGTTCCACCTCTCTCCCTGTATATGCCCTTCATTGGCATACCTTTAGCAACTCCTCTCCTCCTCCCCTGCCAGTCCTGCTAGCCCTTGACAACCACCTCAGGTAGCCCAGAGTTGCTGGCTCACTGAAGGGCAGCGCAGATGCATTGAATTAGAGTTGAATCTGAAGTCCAGCTCTAGTGCACTCCAGATTCACCTCTTTCAGTGAGAGTCAGCAACTGCGCAGATGTCATCGCTCCAGCTCTCCCCCTTGTCCCACCACCGATGCAAATTCGACTGTTGAATCGACTCAGGCGTTTCCACTCTCCTCGGCTCTCTTCTACTCTCTCCCGCTCGCCGCGTGCAGGATCGTGTCAGTGACGCTGGGAAGGCAGGCAGTGGAGCGACGGGTGGTGTCTCAGGACCTAGAGCTCTGGCTGTCCAATGTGAGTAGCGGGGGGAGCGAGGGTGTGACGGAGGGAGGAAGTGGACGGGAAGGTGCATGGAGGATTGGGTAGAACAAACGTGAGGATGAAGGCTGGCAGTGGAGCAAAGGGTGGGATCTTAGGACCTAGAGCTCTGGCTGTCCAATGTGAGTAGTGAGGGAGGGAGAGGAGGGATGGAGGGAATGAATGGGAAGGTGAACAGAGGGTTGGTTGGGACAAACAGGAAGAGTGAAGGAAGGCAGTGGAGCGAAGGGTGGTGTCTCAGGACCTCGAGCTCTGGCTCTCCAATGTGAGTAGTGAGGAGGGACCGTTGTGTGCCAGCAGTATCAGCTGTATCAGCTGTGTCGTCTCAGCCAGCCATATCAGCTGTGTCATCTGTGTCAGCTGTGTCTGCATGCTTCACCTCCCTTTCAGATTAGTAGACTTAGTTTACAGATCGTTCTCTTAGCAGGTTTGCTGCGTTTCGAATCCAACAAACTTCAAACGCATGCTTCACCTCCCTTCTTCACCCCGTGCATCTTCTCCCCTCGCAGGCGCCAGCAGCAGAGGGGCAGTTTGCACTGCTGGCACGAGCAGGCCGACTGGTGAGCTTTCTTTCTTCTGCCTCTTTGCCCTGCTTCAATGTAGAAATTCAGTGCAAGTTATGCAAGTTTGAGTGCTATGCAGTACGTTCAGAAAGTTAAGCACAATGCTGCCTGTTTTGGTGTGCCCACGTGTAGTCTCGCTCCACTTGTTAACAGTATACTGCCTTGTCTCTTGCTGTACTCATTTGTGCCAACCAACCAACACGCAGGTGCAAGAGGTTCAAGTTGTTGCCACTTTGGATCGGGAGCAAATGAAGGAAGTGCTTAAGCAAATCTCTTAGGGTACTGCTATGTGTAATGCGTGGTGCAGTGCGTCGCCGAGTTGAGCTGGTAACTTGTGCAAACTGATGTGTAGTGAGTTATGTATACTGTCAGATTTCTATCTGTCCAGGGCAAGTTTTTCAAAAGTGTCCTTTTGCAGCAATTTTACAAGCTACACACCACCAAGTACCGAACCGATGGAAAAGAATCCAGCAGCAACAGTCGGTACCGTAATCACCCGGATATGAGCCGCGGGCTCGCGAGCTTGTGGGCTTTGATTTAACCTCAAAACCATTCTCCGCAGCTCCATACAGTATTTCAGGTCACTAGTAATACCCAGATCTTGCCTTACATTTTTGTTGCACCATCCATAGCCTATCAATCATCCCTCTCCATCCTATCACTAAACAGCACTAACAATGCAGCAGCAATGCCCCTACTCGTCTACAGGTCAGCTCCCATGCAGAGTACACTATTCAGGGAAACAAGTGAGCACATGGTACCATCACTTCACAGCTGCAATCGGCCATCTGCCATTCTCCTCACCACTTTCCTTCCAACCTTCCGAAACAACAACATCCAGACGCCTGTCTTGGAGCGCCGGACATCAAATGCTAGATCGCACCAGATGCCTGAGGTCAGACAGCTGATTCTGAGTTGACTGGAAGGCCAGCCAAAAGCCAGAAGCATGGTCTTGAGATGCCAGACGTGGCACTCCAGAGCAATCAAGCTGTTCAATCTCACCCCACCACCACCCCTCATCTGTCACTTAACACTATCAACACCAGTGCACCAATACAGTATCAGCGCTCGTGTACGAATTAACCCCAGTGGACATCCCAGGGATATACTCCGGCACGTGGGTGTAATCCTCCTCCGCAATATCCAGCTGCTCTGTACCCCCTCCGACCGCACTCCACTCCACCCCACCCCTTATCTATCACTAAGCACCATCGACATGGGCGCAGCAATATCCGCACTCGTGTACGGATTCACCCCAAAAGACGTGACTGGAATATACTCCGGCACGTGGTCATAATCCTCCTCCTCTGCAATATCCATCTGCTCTTACCCCCTCCCCACCACACTCCACTCCACCCCTTATCCATCACTAAACACCATGGACACCGGAGCAGCAATATCCGCACTCGTGTACGGATTCACCCCGGTAGACGTCCCTGGAATATACTCGGGCACATGGTCATAATCCTCCTCCGCAATATCCATCTGCTCTTACCCCCTCCCCACCGCACTCCACCCCTTATCTATCACTAAACACCATCGACACGGGCGCAGCAATGTCCGCGCTCGTGTACGGATTCACCCCGGTGGACGTCCCGGGAATATACTCGGGCACATGGTCATAATCCTCCTCCTCCTCTGCAATATCCATCAGGTTATCCTCCCGGTCCTCCAAATCGTCGTCCGGGAACAGATTCATCACCGGCTCGAGAATCCCGGACGAGGGCTTTAAGAAGTACTTGATTTCCGCGAGGCGGGTGGCGACCTCGGCCATCTCGGGGCGGTCGCGGCCGAGGCGGCGCACGCACATGGCGGTGACGGCTGCCAGCATGTTGAGCGCCTGGCGCGGGTATGCGCCTGTGAGGCGCGGATCCAATATGCTCTCCACCTTTCCTGCCGCTATCTTGGGCGTCGCCTGGGGTGGTAGGGGGAAGATGGGTGGGGAGTGGAGTGGTGGGAGGGAGAAAGGAAGGAGGGGACGGGAGTGAGTCGTGGATCCAATATGCTCTCCACCCTGCCTGCTGCTATCTTGGCCGTGGTCTGGGGTGAAAGCAGGAGGGGGTTGGGGAGGGAGAGTGGGAGGAAGGATGGAGGGCGGACGGGAGGGAGATAGTCAGTGGAAACGAGAAGTGGCTACTGAAGGCACCAGTGAGGTGCGGGTCCAATATGCTCTCCACCTTGCCTGCCGCTATCTTAGGTGTCGCCTGGAGGAAGGAGTGGGGAGAGGGAGGGCGGAAGAAGGGAGGGAGTGAGGGTGGGAGGGGGTGTGCACAGCGTAACCACACAACTCACCCATCGCAACAGCGTGACAATGTAGGACTTGCTCTCCACTAACGGATCCTCTGGGATGGCATGTGGGATGCAAGTAAGTACCTCAGGGTTGCGCTTGGAATCCGGGTGCAGTGTTCATGGTTCAGGGCACTCGTGCAAGTTTTGCAACTCACCCATGGTGAGAGCTGTGATTATGTATGACTTGGTGACTTTTGAGTCGACTCAAAAGTCACCTCACCCATGGTGAGAGCCGTGATTATGTATGACTCGTGCTCCAATGATGGGTCTTCCATGATGCCATGCAATGCAATGCAATGCAGGTAGGGGTTCGTGCACAGTGTTCAGGGTTGAGGGTTACAGGAATCAGGGAATGCAACTCACCCAGCGTGAGAGTGTGACCAAGTACGACTCGTTCTCCACCGATGGGTCCTCCATGATGGGCGGGTAGCGTGGAGGGGTGCAAAGTTCAAGGTTCAGAATTCGTGGTTTGAAGTTTGCAACTCACCCATCGCGAGAGTGTGACCATGTACGACTCGTTCTCCACTGAGGGGTCCTTCATGATGGCATGTGGCTTGAAGGTGTACTACAGTGCTCAGAGTTCAGAGCTCGAAAGTCAGAGTAAGCACACAACTCACCCATCGCGAGAGTGTGACCATGTACGACTCGTTCTCCACTGAGGGGTCCTCCATGATGGGCGGGCGGCCTGTGATCAGCTCCAGTAGCACAACTCCGAAACTGGTGGGTGGGGCGACAGGAGAAGAGGGGATGATCGGCAAAGGAGGAGAACACTCAGACACATAATTTCTAGTGGCATGGCATGGCACTCGGATGGCATGGGATGCCCACCAGTTGAGGTCTCAGAAGGCACCAGATCCATGTCGTGCCATACGTATGCATGTTACAGAGCCTTCATTTCTCACCTGTACACGTCGCTCTTGGTGGTGACCTTGTACGTCTGGTAGTACTCAGGGTCCACATGGCCCGGAGTGGCATGGCATGGGATGGCATGGGATGGGGTGCTGCCCACCACTCGAGCAAAGAAAAGTGACATGGCACGGTGCATGGTGCATCGGCTCTCACCTGTACACGTCGCTCTTGGTGGTGACCTTGTACGTCTGGTAGTACTCAGGGTCCACATGGCCCGGAGTGGCATGGCATGGGATGGCATGGGATGGGGTGCTGCCCACCACTCGAGCAAAGAAAAGTGACATGGCACGGTGCATGGTGCATCGGCTCTCACCTGTACACGTCGCTCTTGGTGGTGACCTTGTACGTCTGGTAGTACTCGGGGTCCACATAGCCCGGAGTGCCCACCACATGGGGTAACCACTCAATCTATGAGCGCACAAGCTAAGGTGCCTTCACTCTCACCTGTACACGTCGCTCTTGGTGGTGACCTTGTACGTCTGGTAGTACTCGGGGTCCACGTAGCCCGGAGTGCCCACCACATGGGGTAACCACTCAATCTATGAGCGCACAAGCTAAGGTGCCTTCACTCTCACCTGTACACGTCGCTCTTGGTGGTGACCTTGTACGTCTGGTAGTACTCGGGGTCCACATAGCCCGGAGTGCCCACCACATGGGGTAACCACTCAATCTATGAGCGCACAAGCTAAGGTGCCTTCACTCTCACCTGTACACGTCGCTCTTGGTGGTGACCTTGTACGTCTGGTAGTACTCGGGGTCCACATAGCCCGGAGTGCCCACCACATGGGGTAACCACTCAATCTATGAGCGCACAAGCTAAGGTGCCTTCACTCTCACCTGTACACGTCGCTCTTGGTGGTGACCTTGTACGTCTGGTAGTACTCGGGGTCCACATAGCCCGGAGTGCCCACCACATGGGGTAACCACTCAATCTATGAGCGCACAAGCTAAGGTGCCTTCACTCTCACCTGTACACGTCGCTCTTGGTGGTGACCTTGTACGTCTGGTAGTACTCGGGGTCCACATAGCCCGGAGTGCCCACCACATGGGGTAACCACTCAATCTATGAGCGCACAAGCTAAGGTGCCTTCACTCTCACCTGTACACGTCGCTCTTGGTGGTGACCTTGTACGTCTGGTAATACTCGGGGTCCACGTAGCCCGGAGTGCCCACCACCCGAGTGTTCATCTCGTCACCCGGCTTGTTGCTGCCGCTCTTCTTGAACACTCCAAAGTCCGCCACCTTGGCCTGCACGGGCAGCAGGGGAAGAGGAGGCAGGGGGAATGGAGTAAGCGGGAAACGGAAACCAGGGCCGGTTAGGCTCGGTGCTGCTATGCTTCTGAAGCACCTTGGCCGGCATCTTGGTCTGCACTGCGCATTGGCCGGCACCTTGGCATGCAGTGAAGCAGGCAGTGGATGCAAGCAATGCACCCAACACCCAAGAGTTCCAGCAACCAAACTTCAACACCATGGCATCAGCGCTCACCATCATGTCATTATCCAGCAGGATGTTATTGCACTTGATGTCCCGGTGGATGATAGCCGGCTCTGGGGTGATGGAAAGCAGCGCCTACCCAGGTGACTTTTGAGTCGACTCAAAAGTCTCTGGGGTGATGGAAAGCAGCGCCTACCCAGGCGTTCAACCCAAACCCCCAACACGCCATCAGCTCACCTCACCATCATGTCATTATCCAGCAGGATGTTATCGCACTTGATGCCACGGTGGATGATAGCCGGCTATAGGGTGACAGACAGCAGTGCCAACCCCAGAGCCCTGACCTAACAGTTCCAACACCCCATTACTACGCACCATCACGTCATTATCCAGCAGGATGTTATCGCAATTGATGTCCTGGTGAATGATAGCCGGCTCTGGGGTGACAGAGCAGCACCAATCTTTGAGTTCTAAACCTAACCCTAAAGCACCCCCTCCTCACCATCATGTCGTTATCCAGCAGGATGTTATCACACTTGATGTCCCGGTGAATGATAGCCGGCTCTGCAGCGCTGTGCAGGTACTTGAGGCCCTCTGCCGCCCCCACCGCTATCTCCAGCCGCTGCTCGAACGTCAGCGGCCGCT